AGAAGGAAAGAGCCTCCCTTCCTGTCTGAAGGGCTGACCTTGCCCTCCCTATCAACAGGTTCCACATCAACAAGTAAGCCAATCATGGGTGGGAAAATATTTGGAGAAAAAAAGATGCCTCTGGGATTGTGGACATAGCTCAACAGTATAGTTCATGGCTGGACCCTTTCAGTAGGGGGCTGGGGTGGGGCTCACCGGAGAACTAGGGCAGAGAACTCTCTCTCCCTTGGTGCCTGGAAGCACAGCTCAGATGCAGAACCTATGCCTAGAATCCTCAGTGATGAGTGCCGGGAGGCTGGGAGGGGCTGAGGAGGTTGTGGCTTAGAGGTAGACCATTTGCTTAGAATTCTCTAAGAGAGTCTAGGAGCATGCCTCTGCAGTACAAAATTGCCTACTATCCTCCAGTGAGAGGCTGGGAGTATGGCTCAGTTGTAAAGAACTTGCCAAGGCTTTGGCTTAGCAGTAGACCGATTACCTAGGAATCACTGATAGGAAGATAAAGACCTCACTCCTTGATATGACAGCTGCCAAGAATCCAGAGGAGATGGGGGAGGGTGGCTCAGGAGTAGCACTTGGGCATGGAACCTCAGTGAGGGCCCAGGAGTGTATGGCAGTGTTACAGCCCTGACTAGACTCCAGAGATGGGCTGGGGAGTGCCTCGGCGGTAGAGCACTGGCTTAGCGTGTTCCAGGACATCACTGATCCTCACCTTACAGGACCAGGCACACAAAGAGGAAGAGCAAAGTACAGGAAAAGAGAAAGTGGTCCCCATCCTACCTTTACAAGAAGCTTCAGGGAGGAACGGGGAGCACAGACGTACATGTGAAGGTCAGAAATAATCCCTGCTGTTGGTCCTCATCTCCCGCCTTGTATTGGGACAGTCTCTTCTCTCCCTCCCTTCCCTCCCCTCCTCGCCTCACCTCCGCCTCTCTCTTCTCTTCGCTGTTGTCCCTCACCCTGCCCACAGCACTAGCTAGCTGTCATGGTTCTAGGAATCATCCTACCACCATCTCCCATCTCCTAGTAGGATCCCTGGGATTACAGATGCACACCACCAAGGCTTACACTGGCTGTGCACATTTAAACTCGTGCCCTCACACCAGTGAGCGCAAATATTTTACCCACTGAGCTCTCTCTCCAGCCCCCACCAATACCACTTTAGATGCCCACTCACCCGGATGAGAGTACCCTGGGCATCTTTGCAGCCACACTGAGTTCTGAGCATACACTTGTCTTCATGCAGCACAAAGCCAGATTGGCAGACACAGCCCTCCTTACAGGTGGAGGGGGCTGTGGTGCTGGTGCCCATACACTGGCCTTCTGGGTCCGAGCAGGAAGCCAGACAAGAAGGTAGGCAGTTGGTGTAGCGGCTGTGGGCGGGGCAGTGCAGAGCTGGGGGAGAGAGTGTGGTTAATGGAGAGGAACACAGGGTCAAAGCAGGCTACAGGAACCAGACTAGGCAGAATGCTCAAGAGATAGTGGAGCTCCCCCTGTCTTTTGTTATCCATTCAGCCAACATTTACTGAGTGTGAACTTTGTGCCATAGCCTAAGGAAAAAAGTAAGAATGGATCTCTTGGGACTGGAGAGATGGCTCAGCAGTTAAGACTACTTGCTGTTCTTGTGGTAGACCCAAGACAAGTTGGTCTTGTTCAAAAAATGTCATGTAACTCAGGCTCCAGAGCATCTGGTGTCCTCTGTGGCCCCTGCATGAACTGACTCAGGTGCACATACTCACATACAGACACACCATTATACATGGAATTAAAAATAAAATCTTTAAAAAGAATACATCTTCCAAGATAATGTGAGACTGAGAACTAGCAGGCTAATACTGAGAAGGGACCCAGCCCAGCCACAGGTCCCCACAATCCATTCCCATTGTGGTACCTCTTACCCAGACCTCTTAGGCCTGGGGGACTAAGCTCCATCTTGCCCTGTCTCTGGGCTCTCCAGCCACATGCACTCCCTCCCCGCCTCCCCCGCGGCTCCCTTACTGATTTTGGCACAGTTACTGTTGCCATCCTCGGTGTCCTTGCAGTAGGTCTCCGAGGGACACTGGAAAGTCTGGCACTGGATGACCCCTCCCATGCAGGTACAGCTCTGGGTGCAGCCTCTGTTGATCCAGGTCTTGTCCGCCTGCAGAAGTCAAGGGACAGGAAGTGAGGGTGCTGTTAGAGAAAGACAGTCTTGCTTCCTGTCTGAGGGACTTACCCTTGCCTTCCCTGTCTGCAGGTTCTGTGTGTATTCATTTAACCAACTACAGATGGAAAGTCTATGGGAGAAGGTGCACTGGAGGCTGTGGACACAGGTCAGCGGTACAGTGCATGCCTAGAATCCTCCAGGAGGGGCTAATTATGATAGTGATAGAGGTCAGCCCTAGAGTCCTCAGCTGGGGGTTTGGGAGCACAGTTCTGATGTAGAACCCATGCCTCGAATCCTCCGTGATAAGTGGTAAAGAGGCAGTTGGCAGGGGTGTAGAGGTAGAACATTCGCCTAGAATCCCCCAAGAGGGTTAAGGGGTACGACTTAGAGGTACAGCAATTGTCTAGGATCCAACACTGAGGACTGAACTACAGCTCAGTTGTAAAGTAAGTACTTGACTAGAATTTCCCAAGAGGGGCTGAGGCCATGGCATGTTCTAGAACCTAATCAACCTTTATACTACAGGACTAGCCATAAAAACATAAGCATCCTAGGTGGAGAAAAGCAGAAGGAATGAAAAACGTGGCCCTCAATCTCACTTTTTACAAAAAAAAAAAAAAAAAGTATTTATGGGGTGTGTGTGGCAGGAACACATGTGTGTGTGGAGGTCAGAGGACAGTCTTGAACCCCGGTCCTCATCTTTCACTTCGTCCTGAGGCTGTCTCTTCTTCCCTTCCTCCCATGCCCTCTGCCCTGTCTCTGCTGCTGCTCTTCACTCCTGACCACCATGTCTAGGGATGACCACGTCCCTCTTTCCCATCTCCTACTAGGAGCCCTGGGATTACGGACACACCCCACCAAGATTCAAACTCAGGTTCTCAGCTCTTATCAGCAAATGTTTTACACTGAGCTGTTTCCTATCCCCCACCAACCCCACTTTCGATGTCCACTCACCGGGATGAGGACGCCCTGGGCATCTTTGCAGCCACACTCAATTCTGAGTATACACTTGTCGTTATATAGCACAAAGCCAGGTTGGCAGACACAGCCCTCCTTGCAGGTAGAGGGGGCTTTGGTGATGGCACCCTCACAGTGGGCATCAGGGTCGGAGCAGGAAGGTGGACAGGGGGGAAGGCAGGTGGTGTAGTAGCTGTGGGCCGGGCACTGCAGAGCTACAGGGAGGAGGAGACTGGAATTACTGGAGATGACCTAGAAGGCCCAAGTGAGCAAGCTACAGAAACCAGACAAGGGGGCTGGAGAGATGGCTCAGCCTTTAAAATTGCTTGCTGCTCTTATATGAAACTTGAATTCGGATCCGAGTATCCATGTAAGGTCCTCAATACCTCCTGTACCTCCACCTTCAGGGGATCCAGCATCTCTTCTGGCCTCCACATGCACTGCACTCAGGTGCATAAATACACACACAGGCACACCATTATACATGTCTTAAAGACATCTTTAAAAAGAATTTGGATCTGCCAAGTCAATTTAGAGACTAACAATGTAAAGACTAACCATGGGATCCAGCCCAGCCATAGGTTCTCACAATCCCTCCCCATGGTGGTACCCCCATCCCAGACCTTAATTAAAAGCCCAGAGGACTACCCTCCTTCTTCCCTTTCTGATCCCTCCAGCCACATGCACTCCCTCCCCGCCTCCCCCGCGGCTCCCTTACTGATTTTGGTGCAGTTACTGTTGCCATCCTCCATGTCCTTGCAGTAAGTGTCTGGGGGACACTGGAACTCCTTGCACTGGATGGCCCCTCCTGAGCAGGTACAGCTCTGGGTGCAGCCTCTGTTGATCCAGGTCTTGTCTGCCTGCAGAAGTCAAGGGGGAGAAAGGAAGTCAGGACAGAGGGACTGGTTAGAAGGAAAGAGCCTCCCTTCCTGTCTGAAGGGCTGACCTTGGCCTCCCTATCAGCAGGATCTGAACCTATCCTAAGCATGGAAGGAAAAGACTTGGGGGAATGCACCTGTGACAATGGACACAGCTTAGTGGTATGGCTTGTGCCTAGAGTCCTCCACTGAGGAGCTGACAGTGTGGCGCAGTGTTAGAGCTTAAGCCTAGAATCCTCTGCTGGTGGCTTGGGAGCATGGCTCAGATACAGAAATTCTGCCTAGGATCCTCAGTGATGGTGGCTGGAGAAGGCCGAGCTCAGCTGTAGAGCACTTGCCGAGAATCCTCCAGTGATGGGCTAGGGGTCTGGCTCATGGTAGAGCATCTGCTAAGATTCCCCAGTGGGGTGTGGGGAGTGTGGTTCAGTGGCAGAGCTCAGCCCAGTCCTCAAGGGAGGGCTAGGTAGTGTGACCAAGTCTCATGTCTCCTGACCAGAATGTCCCTGGAGGGAACAGGGGCATGGCTCAGCAGAGGAGCACTTGCCTAACCTTTATCCATTCAAAGCAGGGGAAAAGAGGAAGTAGCCCTCAATCCCAGCTGGTTTTCTTGTTTGTTTTTGCTTTGTTTGAGTCGGTCTCAATCTGTAGCCCTGGCTGTCCTGGAACTCACTTTGTAGATCTAGTTAGTCAAGACTCACAGGATCTGCCTGCCTCTGCCTCTGCTTCTTGAGTGCTTGGCTAAAGGGGTGTGTCATCTGCCCGGTGCAACCTCAGGTTTTAGAACGCGCGCGTGTGTGCGCGCGTGTGTGCGTGCATGTGCGTGTGCGTGTGCGTGTGTGTTCTTTGGCATGCCTGTAAATAGGAGTGCATGAATATGAATATGTGGAGACAGAGGAAAAACCTCAGGTACTGGTTCTCACCTTCCACTTTTTACCGGACAGTGGTTTTTTTTCTCTCTCTCTTTCCCTCATTGTTCACTGCTGCCCACACAAGACTAGCTAGCCCTTAAGTTTCTGGGAATTCTCCTGTCCCTGGCCCCCCCACATCCCAGTAGGAGCCCCTGGACTAGAGACAGGCTAACAAGGTTTACGTGGGTTGTAGGGATTCAAACTCAGGTTCTCATACTGTCAGAGCAAATGTTTTATACACTGAGCTATTTCCCATCCCCTACCAACCCCACTTTAGACGCCCACTCACTGAGATGACAACACCCTGGGCATCTTTGCAGCCACACTGAATTTTGAGCACACACTTGTCGTTATATAGCAGATAGCCAGGTTGACAGACGCAGCCTTCTTTGCAGGTGGAGGGAACGTTATGGCTGGTGCCACTACAGAGGCCTTCTGGGTCCCAGCAGGACGGCAGGCAGGAAGGTAGGCAGTTGGTGAGTAGGCTGTGGGCGGGGCACTGCAGAGCTTTCGGATGGAGAGAGTGGGTTAGTGGAGAGGGAGAGAATGGGGCAAGGAAGCAGGGAAACCCCCACTACGCCAAACAACCCAAGACCTGGGGGAAATTTCTTTCCCTTTGTTATTTCTTTAGCATACATTTACTGGGCATGGGGGATACACCACGTTCCGAGGAAAGAAGAGTGGGTCTTGGACTGGAGAGAGAGTGTTTAACTCAGTAGTTAACACTGCTTGCTGCTCTTGTAGAACATCTGAGTTCAGTGCCCAGCACCCAGGGTGAGTGGCTCACAATACGCTGTAATTCCAGCTCCAGGGGATCCAGCACACACACACACACACACACACACACACACACACACGCACGCACACGCACGCGCACGCGCACGCGCACGCGCACGCGCACGCGCACGTGCATTCACACATATACTCACACACACACTCACATACTCACACAGTCTCACATACACTCATACACACTCACACACACAGACTCATACACACACACACACATTCACAAACACACATACACCTTTAAAAAGAAGGCGGCAAGCAAAAAGGATGAGGAAGGTCTCCCAAGTCTGTGTGGAAAACTAACAGCTGAGAAAGCATCCTTGAGAAAGGATGTGGCCCAGCCATGGGTCCCCAGAACCCCTTCCCACTGTGGTACCCCACACTCTCAGAATGCCCTTCTCTGGCTCCTTTACCCAGGAGCACACCTCCTCAACCTTCCCCACGGCCCCCTTACTGATTTTGGTGCAGTTACTGTTGCCATCATTGGTGTCATGGCAATAGGTCCCTGAGGGACACCGGAAATTCTGGCACTGGATGGCCCCTCCCGTGCAGGCACAGCTCTGGGTGCAGCCTCTGGAGGTCCAGGTCTTGCCTGCCTGCAGAAGCCGTGGGAAGAGAAAGGGAGTGGGGACTTGGCAGGGTGTTCTGAAAAGACAGTTCACAGCCTGGATGAATTATCCACACACTCCACCCATCTACTGAGTCAGCCATGCCCAGGTGGAAGACGTCTGATTTAAAAACCGCATTCAGGGATTGGGGAGATGACAGAACACCTTTTTCTTAGATTTATTTATTTATTATGTATACAGGGTTCTGCCTGCATGTGTCCCTGCAGGCCAGAGGAGGGCGCCAGATCTCATTACAGATGGTTGTGAGCCACCATGTGGGTGCTGGGAACTGAACTCAGGACCTCTGGAAGAACAGTCAGTGTTCCTAACCTCTGAGCCATCTTTCCAGCCTGAGATGATTGAACATTTAAGAGCACTTTCTGTACTTTTTTTTTTTTTTTTGGTTTTTCAAGACAGGGTTTCTCTGTGTAGCTTTGCGTCTTTCCTGGATCTCTGTAGACCAGGCTGGCCTCGAACTCACAAAGATCCGCCTGCCTCTGCCTCCCAAGTGCTGGGATTAAAGGCGTGTGCCACCACCACCTGGCTTTCTGCACTTTTATAGCATTCAAGTTTAGACTCCGGCACCCACACTGGGATCCTCAAAACCATCTATAGCTCTAGTCCCAGGTATCTGATGTCTTTTCTTAGCCTCTCCAGGCATGTGTACTCACACGGCACACATTCACACAGACACTCAGATATACACATAATAAAATTGATAAAATTTTTTTTTGTTCATTGCATTTGGTGCTGGTGGATGTGGTTCCTCGGTAGAAGGTCTGTTAGAACCCCCCAGTGAGGAGTTGAGGGCAAGGCTCCGCAGTGGATTGCTTTCCTGGAACCCTCAAATGGGTGACTGCTGTGTGGTAGAGTTAGATTGCTTTCCTGAAACCTCACAGGTGACTTACACTTCGGAGTACTAGTCGACCGAGTGCCAGGCCCTGATCAACGTTCACACTCCAGCACCAGCCATTCAGATATGAGCATCCCAGGCTCAGAGAAGCAGAGGGAAGGAGAAAGGGGACCCCAAGCCCACTCTCCACACCCACTCACCGGGATGAAGATACCCTGAGTGTCTTTGCAGCCACACTGAATTCTGGGTATACACTTGTCCTCATTCAACACAAAGCCTGGATGACAGACACAGCCCTCCTTGCAGCTGGAGGGGGCTTTGGTGCTGACGTCCTCACAGTGGCCATCCGGGTTGGAGCAGGAAGGCGGACAGGGGGGGAGGCAGGCTGTGAACTGGCTGTGGGCCGGGCACTGCAGAGCTGTCGTGTGGAGGGAGAGGGGGGTCAGTGGAGAGGCCCTGGGGAGCTTGAGGAAGCAGAGGCTGCAGGAACCAGAGGAGATGGACTGTTCAAGAGAACTTGAACGTAGGTTTCTTTGTTTTTGTTTTTCCCCCCAAAACCACTTACTGGCCACAGCCTGTGCACCAAGCCCCTAGGAAAGAAAGTAAGAAGAATGGATCTTCTAAGGTATTGTGGGGTGCTAACCATGGAGAGACCAAGACTGAGAAAGTACCCAACCCCAGAGTACCAGTCCCCAGAATCTCTCCTCACTGTTAGCCCTTACCCTGACCCCAAGGCCCAGGGACTAAGCTCCTGCCTGCCTGCCCCTGGTCTCCAGGCACGCGCACCCTCCCCACCTTCCCCGCGGCTCCCTTACTGATTTTGGTGCAGTTACTGTTGCCATCCTCCATGTCGCTGCAGAAAGTCCCCGAGGGACACTGGAACTCCCTGCAGTGGATGACCCCTCCCACACAGGTACAGGTTTGTGAACAGCCTCTGTTGATCCAGGTCTTGTCCGCCTGCAGAAGCCCCAGGAATGAAACCGAAGTGAGGGCAGGTGGGCTGGTCAGAGGGCAACAGCCTCGTCTCTGAAGTGCTGACCTTTGCCCTTGCTATCTACAGCTCTCACATCTAGTCCGTCCATCAGTCATTGATGGGAAATTTGGGGGAGGGGAATGACCTGTGTGGCAGGCAGAGCACTGCCCAGATCCCCATCCAAGTGCTTACAACTCAGTGGTACCCGTCTGTCCTCCAGTCGTCCCCTGACGGCCTGGGAGCACAGCGCAGTCCAGACAGCTTCTGACTACATAAGTCTCCTAGTAGGGGTCTGGCTCTGGAGGTTCAGCTACAGAGCATTTGTCTAGTATGTCCCAGGACCTGCCCAGCCTCCGCACTCCAAGGCAACCACGTGTATAGACAGGTGTACGAAACAGAAGAAAAGAGCAAGTCACCCCAACCCCACGGTTGAAAACAATCTTTTTCTGTGTGGGTGAGTGTATTTGTGTGCGTGGGACTGGGGCACATGTATCTGTGGGGGTCAGAGGACAATCTCCTTCCACTTCGTACTGAGACAACACCCCTCCCCCTCTCCCTTTCTCTTTTTTCTCTTGTCTTCCTCCACTAGGCACACAGGACTAGCCAGCCCTCCAGTTTCTAGGGATTCTCTTGTCTCTACCTCCCACCTCCCAGTAGGAGCCCTGGATTACAGGCACGGGCCACGCAGGCAGCCAGGTTACATGGGTTGTGGAGATTCAATCTCAGGTCCTCATTTTTTTCTGTATGTATTTTACACACTAAGCCAACTCCCCATCCCTCCCCATCCCACTCACTGGGATGAGAGCGCCCTGGGCGTCTTTGCAGTCACACAGAATTCTGAGCATACACTTGTCTTCATGCAGCACAAAGCCATCTCGACAGACACAGCCCTCCTTACAGGTGGAGGGGGCTGTGGTGCTGGTGCCCTCACAGAGGCCTTCTGGGTCCCAGCAGGAAGGCAGACAAGAAGGTAGGCAGCTGGTGTAGCGGCTGTGGGCGGGGCACTGCAGAGCTATGGGGAGAGAGAGCTGAGTTAGTGGAAAAGATTAGAGGGCTCAAGAAGCAGGGGCTACAGAAACCACAGGGGCCGGAATGACCAACAGAGCTTTGAGGGGTTCGGCCTCTCTTGTATTATTCATTCAGCCAACATTTATTGAGCATGGGATGTGTGCCAAGTCCCAAAGTAATAAAACGGATCTCCCAAGTCAACATGGGAGGCTAACCATGGAGAGGCTAATGCCGAGAAGGGGCCCAGCTGAGTGGTGGGACCCCAGAATCTCTCTCCTCTACCCCTCACCTCAAAGGCCCAGGGAACTACACCCCTTCTTGCCCTGTCTGGGACCACACCCCTCCACCTCCCCCATGGTGGCTCCCTCACTTATGTTGACACAGTCACTGGTGTCACCCTTGCCACCGTCCTGGCAGTAGGTCTCTGGGGGGCACTGGAAAGTCTGGCACTGGATGACCCCTCCCATGCAGGTACAGCTCCGGGAACAGCCTCTGGAGATCCAGGTCTTGCCTGCCTGAAGAAGCCAAGAGAAAAGAAAGAAGTGAGAAAGGAGGGGCTGGTTTAAGGGGGAGCCTCACCCACTGGAGGGCTTCAGTCTGCCCTCCCTGTCTGTCATTCAGAATCCAGTGTTATCAACCACAGGTGGAAAACGTTTGGAAAAAGAAAAAGGAAGACCGCTACATCTTGTCAGGATGTGGTGGTGAATGCCTCTAATCCAAGAACTTGGGAAGCAGAAGCAGGCAGATGTCTGAGTTCAAGGACAGCCAGGACTACTTAGTGAGATTCTGTCTCAAAAAACAAAAACAGCTGAGCAGTTGTGGCGCATGCCTTTAATCCCAGCACTCAGGAGGCAGAGGCAGGCGGATCTCTGTGAGTTCGAGGCCAGCCTGGTCTACAAAGCAAGTTCCAGGACAGCCAGAGCTATACTGATAAATCCTGTCTAGAAAAACCAAAAAAAGTTTAAGACAAACAAACAAAAGAGCAAATGCTGCATCTGGGACTGGCAGTACAGTTCAGGGGTGCAGTGCTTGCCTAGACTTCCTGTGGAGGACTAGAGTACGGCTCATCCCTAGACTATCTATCGATAATCCCTACTGAAGGGCTGGGGAATGGTTCATGGTAGAGCTGAGGCCTAGAATCTCCCAAAGGGAGCCTGGAGTGTAGGTCAGCCACAGAGCACTAGAGTAAGGCCCAACTGACAGGCAAGGGTGAGAGGTGGTGGTGGGGCATGTACTAGAGGCAGAACACCTGCCTAGAATCCCCAGTGAGGGGCTGGGGTGTGGCTCAGTGGTAGAGCCCCTGCCTAGAATCCCCCAGTGAGGGGCTGGGGTGTGGCTCAGTGGTAGAGCCCCTGCCTAGAATCCCCCAGTGAGGGGCTGGGGTGTGGCTCAGTGGTAGAGCCCCTGCCTAGAATCCCCCAGCAATACTGAGGTACTGCTTAGCAGTAGAGCACCTACCTAGAATCCTCCAGTGAGGGGATAGAGGTGTGGCACCTTGGTAGTGAGCCTGCCTAGCCTATGGCAGGCCCTGACCAACCAAGGAAGGACATCCCAGGTGGAGAGAGGCAGAAGAAATTGGAAAGTGGCCACCAAACCTATTTTTAAAAATATTTTTTATGTGTTTGTGTATGTTTGTGTGGGAGAGTGACTGGAGAAGTACTTATCCATCAAGGCCAGAGGACAGTCTCTAGTTTTGACTCTTACCTTCTATTTTTTTTTTTTTTTTCGAGACAGGGTTTCTCTGTGTAGCTTTGCGCCTTTCCTGGAGCTCACTTGGTAGCCCAGGCTGGCCTCGAACTCACAGAGATCCGCCTGCCTCTGCCTCTCGAGTGCTGGGATTAAAGGCGTGCGCCACCACCGCCCGGCTACCTTCTATTTTGTATTGAGATAGTTCGCCCCCAACACACACACACACACACACACACCTCTGCTGCTGTTGTTCTCCACAAGACTAGCTAGCTCCCACTTTCTGAAGATTCTCCTGTCTCTCATCTACCAGTAGGAGCACCGTATAAGAACTAGGACAGCATCGCATGTGGGCGTGGTCATTCGAACCCACTTCTCACACTTGCAGTGTGGTGGCTGTTCTCAGTTGTCAGCTTGACTACATCTGGAATGAACTAAAACCCAAATGACTGGGCACACCTGTGAGGGATTTATTTTTTTCTTAATTAAATCATTTGAAGTGGATCTTCTAATCTGATCTCTGGGGTGGGAAGATCCACCTTTAATCTAGGCTATACCTTCTGCTGGCAGCCTAGATAAGACATTAAGACATGGGAAAAAGAAGTTTGTTCTCTCTCTCTCTCTCTCTCTCTCTCTCTCTCTCTCTCTCTCTCTCTCTCTCTCTGCTTGCTTTCACTGGCAAATCCAGTCCTTCACTGGCATTAGAGCCTACTTCTTTGGGATTCTAGTGTATACTGAAGACCAGCTGAGACATCTAACCTCACAGACTGAACAACTACTGGATTCTTGGACCTTCCACTTATAGGCAGCCATTGTTGGATTAGACTTACATAAGCCTGTAAGACTTTTAGTGTAAATCATTGACTAATACACACAGCAAGAGAGTTACCCACTGAGCCCTCTCAAACCTATTCTCTATACTAACTCACCAGGATGAGGATGCCCTGGGTGTCTTGGCAGCCACACTCAATTCTGGGTATACACTTGTCGTCATGCAGCACATAGTCATGTTGGCAGACACAGCCCTCCTCACAGGTAGAGGGGGCTTTGGTGACGGCACCCTCACAGTGGGCGTCTGGGTCCAGGCAGGAAGGCTGACAGGAGGGCAGGCAGTCGGTGTACTGGCTGTGGGCTGGGCACTGCAGAGCTGGGGGACGGAAGGAGAGCGGGGTTAGTGGAGAGAACAGAGGCAGACCATAGCGACCAGGCTGGGCATGACGACCAGGAGGGCTTGGGGCTTTTCTTCCCTTCGTGATTCACTCAGCAAACCTTTACTGACCACAGGCTGTGTGCCGAGGCTTCAAAGAGGAGTGAGCTGAGGACATGGGGCGTTCAGGGCCCCAGCCAAGCTGTGGGTCCCCAGAAGCTGTCATCTCCGTGGTACCTGCCTATGCCCGAGCTTTATCCCCAGGGAACTAAGCTCCATCTTGCCCTGCCTCTGGGCTCTCCAGCCACATGCGGCTCCCTTACTGATTTTGGCGCAGTGACTGCTGCCATCATCACTGTCCTTGCAGTAGGTCCCTGGGGAACACTGGAAAGTCTGGCAGTGGATAACGCCTCCCGTGCAGGTACAGCTCTGGGTGCAGCCCCTAGAAGTCCAGGTCTTGCCTGCCTGCAGAAGCCACAGGAAGAGGAAGGAAGTGATAACCAAAGACCACGTCTAAGGAGACAGTCTCACCTCCCGTGAAAGGGACTTACATTTGTTCTCAGAGTCTGCAGTTTCCATATCTACTCCATCAACCAACCACAGAAATATTTGAAAAACCACTGCAGAGATACAGTAAAGGGGTACTGTGTCTGCCTAGAATCCCTCAGTGAGGAGCTGAGGAGTGGCTCAGTGTTAGAGCACCTGCCTAGAATCCTCCTTAATAGGGGACTAGGACCATGATTCATAAATGGAGCTCCTGATCAGAAATCTAGCAATGGGTAAGGGTGAAAAGCAATGGGTGTGTATTAAAGATGAGTACATTTTAGCAATGGGATGTTGCTCATCAGTAAAACACTAGCCTAGAATCTTCTAGTGAGGGAATGGGAGAGGGTAGCTGGGTGGTAGATCGCCTGCCTAGCCTGTGGCAGGCCCTGACCAACCTTCACACTCTGGAGCCAGCCATAAGGCAGGAACAATCTCAGAGAGAAGCAGAGGGAATGAGAAAGTGGCCACCAACCGAACTTAAAAAACAAAACAAAAAGCCAGGTAGTGGTGGTGAACATCTTTAATTCCAGCACTCAGGAGGCAGAGGCAGGCAGATCTCTGTGAGTTCGAGGCCAGCCTGGTCTACAAAGCAAGTTCCAGGACATCCAGGGCTGTTACACAGAGAAACCCTGTCTCAAAAATCCAAAACAAAACAAAACTTTTTTCTGTGTGTTTGTGTGTGGTCCTGGGAAGTGTTTACCTACAGACGTCAGAGACATTTCTATTGTTAGTTCTTGCTTTCTGCTCGTATTGAGACAGGGTCTCGGTCTCTCTCTCTCTCTCTCTCTCTCTCTCTCTCTCTCTCTCTCTCTCTGTCTCTCTCTCTCTCTCTCTGCAGGCTCTTTCCTGTTACTGTTCAGTTGCTATCCACACAAGACTAACACAAGAACCTGGGGCTTCTCCTGTCTTGTCTCTGTTCTCACAGTAGAAGCACTAGGGTTACCCACATGGGCTATTTACACCCATCTCATATGGGTTGTGGTCATTTGAACCCAGGTCCTCACACTTACACAGCAAGTTATTTACCCACTGAGCCATCTCCTGGCACCCCAAATCCTACCTTCAACACCAACTCACCGGGATGAAGACACCCTGGGTGTCTTGGCAGCCACACTCAATTCTGAGCACACACTTGTCTTTATCCAACACATAGCCCGGTTGACAGATGCAGCCCTTCCTGCAGGTAGAGGGGGCTGTGGTGACGGCACCCTCACAGTGGGCATCTGGGTCCGAGCAGGAAGGTGGGCAGGGGGGAAGGCAGTTGGTGTACTGGCTGTGGGCCGGGCACTGGAAAGCTGTGGGGTTGAGGAGAAGGAGTGAGTAGAGAGAATAGAGGGGCCACAGATACATAAACCACGTGAGCTTGGGGCTTCCCCCCAATTGTGCTTTCAGCAAACACTTACTGACTGCAGATTGTTTGCCAAGGCTGAGAGAAGCAAGTATGAAGAATGGAAGGAAGTGACGGTTAGAATTCTTAGACCCTCCCCCGGCTACATGACCACACATGTGCTGTCCAGTAGCCAAGCAAGATGCTTAGTCATCCTAGGGCCTTACGTCCTACGTAATCCGTGCGCTGTGTGATCACACAATCTGCATGCACTGTGGTCACGTAACCTGTGCGCATGCATGGCATAGAGAGCAAGCCCATAATCACATGTGTGTGGGGAGACCTACAAAAGCAGGTTCCACCTATTCCCCCCCTCTCTTCCTGCACAGTCATTCCATAGGCCTATGCACACCCCTTCTATTCCTCTCCCTTAATAAACTCTTATAGTGGGTTTTGTTATGCCTTGTGGCTTTTCTCTCATGGTAAACAGTGCCACTTATAAATAACAGTGACCATTTAGAAACTAACCTGAGAAAGGATCTAGTCCAACATAGGTCCTCAGAATCTTTTCTGACTACGGGGGCTCTTAGCCCTGAGCTTTAATGCCCAGAGGACCGAGACCCTCCTCGCCCCCTCTGTCTTCTCCTTCCTTGAGCGCACCCTCCCCACCTTCCCTGTGCCCCCTTACTGATTTTGACACAGTCACTGCTGCCGTCCTCGTCCTTGCAGTGAGTCCCCGAGGGACACTGGAAATCCCGGCACCTGATGGCCCCTCTCATACAGGTACAGCTCTGGGTACAGCCTGTGGACATCCAAGTCTTGCCTGCCTGCAGAAGCCAGGAGATGAGAAAGAAGTGGAGACTGAGAGGATGCTCTAGAGAGCCAGGTTTAGCCTCATGCCTGAAGGGTTTATTTGTGCTCTCCTTATATTCAAGCTCCATATCTATTCAATCAACCAAGTGCCAGTAGAAAATATCTGATTTAAAAATGGCATTTGGGGCTGCAGGTTTCTGTCCAGAGACAGAAAGCCTGAGTAGACTTCCCCAGTGAAAGTCTAGGGTGTGGCTGAGCAGTACATTGCTTGCCTAGAATCCCATCAAGCAGGGGGTGCTGCATGGCTCAGAGTCAGAAGGCTTGCCTAGAATCCAGGAGTAGGATGCTGGAACATTTGCCTACTGTATACCAGGCCCTGAGGACACAGGTCTACACATTACAGGGCCAGCCATACAGACAGAACATTCCAAGCAGTGAGAAAGAAGCAGAGGGAAGAGGAAAGGGGCCCCAAGCCCACTCTCCACACCCACTCACTGGGATGAAGGCACCCTGGGTGTCTTTGCAGCCACACTGGATTCTGGGTACACACTTGTCCTTTTCAAGCACAAAGCCAGGGAGGCAGAGGCAGCCTTCTTTGCAGGCGGAGGGGAGGTTGGGGCTGCTGCCCTTGCAGTGGCCATCAGGGTCGGAGCAGGAAGGCGGACAGGGGGGAAGGCAGTTGGTGTAGAGGCTGTGGGCCGGGCACTGCAGAGCTGGGGGAGGAGGAGGAGAGTTGGGTTACTGGAGAGGAACAGAGGGGCCCAAGGAAGCAGAAACGACAGAAACCAGACTGGGCTGGGACGAACAGAGCCGAGCGCATTTTCATTCTTTTGTTATTATTCACTTAGCAACCATTTACTGAGTGTGGTCTGTGTGCCAAGCCCCCAGGGAAGAAGAAGATGGATCTCCCAAGCTCATGTGGGAGACTCACCATGGAGAGATCTAAACTGAAAAGGAACAGCCCAGCCGTGCATCCCCAGAATCCCTCTCCACCGCGACATGTCCTGTCCTCCGCCCCCTAGGCCAGGAGACCCTCCAGTCACGTGCACACCCTCCCCGCCTTCCCCGCGGCTCCCTTACTGATTTTGACACAGTTACTGCTGCCGTCCTCGTTGTCCTGGCACTGAGCCCCCAAGGGACACTGGAAATTCTGGCACTCGATGGCCCCTCCAATGCAGACACAGTTCTGGGTACAGCTGCTGGAGATCCAGTTCTTGCCTTCCTGCAGAAGCCAGGGGCAGAGAGACACAGTGACGGGGAGGACTGCTTCTGGGGAAACAGCCCCCCTGTTGAGGGGCGTGTCCTTTCAGTCCACTAAGTCAATAAACCACGGGTGTAAAAACAGAAAAAAACAATTGCATCTGAGGCTGAGTGAAGAGCCCCTGTGTGCAGTCCCCATCAAGTGCTGGGGACACAGGTCAGAGGCAGAGCACTTGCGTAGCCTGCACCAGACCGGACCAACTTTCCTGCTCCAGGGCCCTTCACAGAGAGACGGGACGGCAAGGAGAAAGTGGCCCCATCCCACTCTCCATGCCACTTACCGGGACGAAGACACCCTGGGCATCCTTGCAGCCACAGTGAGTTTTGAGCACACACTTGTCATTGTTCAGCACGTAGCCCGGTTGACAAATGCAGCCCTCCCTGCAAGTGGCAGGGACTTTATGGCCAGAGCCCTCACAGCGGCTGTCCGGGTCCAAGCAGGAAGGTGGACAAGAGGGAAGGCAGTTTGTGTAGTGACTGTGAGCTGGGCATTCCAGAGCTGTGGCACAGAGGGAGATTAGCATCAGTTAAGAGGGCCAGAAGGGCCCGAGGACGCAAAGGCTGCAGAAACCAGGGTGGGTTAAATCATCAACATAACTCGCCCCCCCCTTTATTCATTCAACATTGACTGAGTATAGCCTGTGTGCTTAGCTCTGAATAAATAAATAAATAAATAAATAAATAAATAAATAAATAAGTAAATAAATGGGGTTCTGTTAAACCAATGTGGGAACTTACCCAGGTCAGTCAGCAATAACAAAGTGACCTTTGTCCTCCTCAGTCCTCCTGCACTTACTAGCTGAGGACACGGAGTTGAGTACCAGGTATGACGGGGCCACAGGGCAGGGAGAGGAACTGTCAAGGAACTTTAAATGGTCCTTAAGGAAACAGCTATGCGTTGTGCCTCATAGCTGTTCTATCGGCACTTGGAGGACAGAGGCAGGAGGATCCAGAATCAGGGCTATCCTTGACTACATAAGAGAGTTTAAAAACAGAGAGAGATGGGGCTGAAGAGATTTCCCAGACAATAAAGATGTGTGCCACCCAGCCTGAGGATCTGAGTTGGATTTCTGGGATCCACACAGTGAAATAGAGAATTAACTCCCAAAAGTTGTCCTCTGACCTCCATGTGTGTTGTTACATGCATGCACACATGCCCGTGCATGTGCATACACACCACACACACACACACACTGAATAAATGACGTAATAAACAAAGCAAGACAGAGAGTGAGCAAACGTAGTAACACTGTGTTCATGGGTAGGGAGAGGCAGCAATGTGCTGTTCCCATTAGTCATCCCTCGGTTAATCACCTTGCTCTTTCCCCAGCCCCTCACTGAGAGACTCCAGGCAATCAGTCCACCCCTGAGCTATACTCCTGGCCTGGCTGACTTAGCATGCACATTATATCGTATATCATGAGCCATGTAGAGAGGGTTGAAAGTATACTGGATGGTGTACACAGGTTCTATGCAGACTCTGTGCTATTTTATGAAAGGGACTTAAGCATTCTCAGATGTTGCTACCCTTGGGGTTCTTGAATCCAATCAGACGGACGCTGTTGATATGGACAATTAATAATACTAAAAAGTTTTAATCATCCTTTGCTTTGCATTTTAAGATATCTGCTGTGGGATGTTCTGTATGGCAAATGTGTTGCTCTGATTGGTCAATAAATAAAACACTGATTGGCCCGTGGCTAGGCAGGAAGTATAGGCGGGACTAATAGTGAGGAGAAAAGAAAGAACAGGAAGGCAGAAGGAGTCACTGCCAGCCACCGCCAGGACAAGCAGCATGTGAAGAGGCCGGTAAGCTATGAGCCACATGGCAAGGTATAGATTTATGAAAATGGATTAATTTAAGCTATAAGAACAGTTAGTAAGAAACCTGCCATGGCCATACAGTTTGTATGCAATATAAGTCTCTGTGTTTACTTGGTTGGGTCTGAGCGGCTGTGGGACTGGTGGGTGACAAAGATTTGCCCTGACTGTGGGCAAGGCAGGAAAACTCTAGCTACAGATATCTGTGGCCGGGTGGTGGTGGCACATGACTTTAATCCCAGCACTTGGGAGGCAGAGCCAGGCAGATCTCTGTGAGTTCTAGGCCAGTCTGGTTTATAGAGCGAGATCCAGGAAAGGCGCCAAAGTTACACAGAGAAACCCTGTCTTGGAACCAAAGCAAAACAAAACAAAAAAGATATCGGTGTATGTGTGTGGGCATCCATTTGCATGTATGCATGTGTGTTTGTGGTATGTGTGTGTCTGTGTAATGTGTGTAAGGGTGCTCACAGAGGCCAGAAGAAGGTATTGGATCCCCTGGAGATGGAGTTACAGGGGTTTATGAGCCACCTGATGTAGATGTTGGAGACTGAACTTGAGTCCTCTACAAGAGCATTGAACTGCTGAGTCAGCTTTCCAGTCCCATGTTTTAAGAATTGACAGGTTCTTAAGCCGGGCGGTGGTGGCACACGTCTTTAATCCCAGCACTCGGGAGGCAGAGCCAGGTGGATCTCTGTGAGTTCGAGGCCAGCCTGGGCTACCAAGAACAGTTAGTACTTGCATAAAAGGCGCAAAGCTACGCAGAGAAACCCTGTCTTGAAAAACCACAAAAAAAAAAAAAAAAAGAAAGAAAGAATTGACAGGTTATTGATTTACACCGAGGGTTACACAACTGTAAAGATTCTAACAGTATTCTCTCCTCCTAAGTCATCTCTCCAGCCTTAGTGTTGGTTTGTTTAGTGACACAGCTGAGTCAGGCTTGGCGGTGCAGGAGGAACAGAAGTGCAAGGCCGTGCTTGGCGAGCTGCCTAGGGAGTCTGCGGCCAGGCCGGGTGGACGACTGTAAGGAATCAGTGCTCTCCAGACACAACAGGGTATTTGCACACATGAAACCACAGTGGCTGTTCAGCATGCACAAGTTCAAGCCCCACAAAATCTCGGCATGGGGAAAGGAAATGGCGTGACCCCCACCCCTAGCTGAAGAGCTACTGGCAGCCATGATCTGCTGGAGACAGCGTCTGCTTTCTTTACAGATGTGGCTCCTGGAAGGTGGACTGCACTCCAGTGGATGCCTATACACCCAAAGTAAATAAAGAGCACAAAATGACGCAATTGTGTTAAAAAAAAAGTCATAAAGTTGAGTGGGTAGGTAGACCTGCGTGAGTTGGGGTAGGGGGCAAATATGATAACAATATAGTGTATAAAATTCTCAAAGAATTAATAATAATAACTGACACGACACTAAGGATGTGTGGAAGAGCCATAGGAGTCATATTATTTTCATTTATCTAAAATTACATATAGTAATATAGGTGTATGTGTATAAATGTATAGTTTAAATGAAATGTGTCCCTTGAGCTGACAATGCTCCCCACAGGAGCAATAGACTAACCAAAACCCCAGTGTCAGGTGTGAGAAATCCCTTTGAAGTTGTTGGTCAGAGATATCCAAAAGACTCCCCAAAAACTAGGCTGCTGTCCTTGGTTGCCCTCCAAAGGTAAAGGTAAATCCTTTGGTTGAAGACCCATGCACTCTGAATACAGTCCTCCAGGATCCTGAGGAGCTGAGCTGGATCCTGTCCCACAGCCTCCTCTCCAGGACAAGCTTTCATTGTCCCAACAGGTGCTGTTACAGTTTCAAAGGAAGGAAACAACGTGAATCACAACACTGACCCTAGGGGGGCAACAGTGGCACTTCTACCTCAGTAACAGCCAAGAGCTGTCTGTGTGGACTTCAGGCCCGCAGAAAAGAATCTACCGCTTTACTAGAAGAATAATTGTAAACTGCACTCTAAATAAGTATCCTTATATCCACAGATATACATAGCTCTCACCCCTCACCAAAGAAACGTCTCCTGTAATAGATGGAGACCGTCTGCATCACAACTCCTGCAGCTAAGGCTCAGGGACACTGAAGAAGAGGGGGAGCCAAAGGACTGTAGAGCCAGAGGACCAGGAATCTGCTGGGAACAGGAACGCTTCACTCATGATGCTCCAACAAAACAGCTGCCTAAACGAGCCCTGCACAAGCACACACAGCACCAATAGACACACTAACACAGAAGGGGGGTCTCACGGGGCCCCAGCCCGAGACCAAGACTCCAGGCAATTTAGGAGTGCTGAGAGCGGGGAAAACAGTCTTCCCCAGAGATGAGCCCCTAACTGATTATCCAATACCAATTGGTCAGCCATTAATTCACGCGCGCGCGTGCGTGCCTGTGTGTATGTGTTTATGTGTGTGTAGCACTAAGTGGACTAAGTAAGTTGCATTTATATTTTTATTGTAACAATGACAAAGAAAAAGAAGCCACAAAATTTGAGGGAACAGGGGCACGGGACATGGAAAGGATGTAAGGGAGAAAAGGGACATGGGAAAATGATGGAATTATAGATTCATGTTTTAAAGAGACAAAAGAATGCCAGGCATAGTGGTGTACATCTTTAACCCTAGTGCCGGGGAGGCAGAGCCAGGAGGATCTCTGTGAGTTCGAGGCCAGCCTGGTCTACAGAGTGAGTTCCAGGACAGCCAGGGCTACACAGTGAGACCCTGTCTCAAAAAAGCCAAATGTTCAAAATTCTTCATAGTTCAAGTTCTGAAATCTCAAAAAGCAAAACTTATAGTGAAAAAAAAAGCAAAAATTGTTGTAGAATAATCTTTTTTGTACACTGTGAAGAGGTGTCTTTGCCAAGGCACTTTCTGATTGGTTTAATAAAGGGCTGAATGACCAATGGCTTGGCAGACAGAGAGAAAAGAGGAGGAGATGAATCTAGGTGTGGGAGGACACCGGAGGACACCGAGAGGAAACAAGAGGTGCAAGATGGAAGAGAGGTAAAAAGCCATGAGGCAAAAATGGAGATTAATATAATGGGTTAATTTAAGTTATAAGTTACTGAGACAAGGCTAAGCTATAAGCTGAGCTACTGTAATTAGTAATTAGTCTCTGAGTCATTTATTGTGAGCTGGGGGCCCAAAGAAAAATCCATCTACAAAAACCAGAAAAGAACTATGGAAGTCTCCAGACGTCTAGGGATGTGGATCAGTTGGCAGACCGTGAAGCCCTGGGTTCTATCCTAGCTCATCATAAACCAGGCATGGTGGTGCACATCTGTAGTCCCAGTACTCTGCTGGTGGAGGCAGGAGGATTACGAGTTCCAAGTCATCCTTGGGACGTAGCAAGTTCAGGACTAAACTGTGCTATAAGAGACCCTGTCTCATCCTCCTCAATATATAAAAAGAAGGCACCCACTCTGACCTGGAGGGGCAAAGAACTTTCCAGGGTTGATATGAAGATGTACATTGTGTGGGGAAATGAAGGTTTTTTTTTTTTTGGTGTGAGCTACATGGAGATGACAGAGGTAACAGAGCCAAGACAGTCTTCAGGGTCTTAAAGTCATAGCACAGAATTTAACCTTAACTGCCAAGGCAGCAACCAGGCAGGACAGTGATGCCTTCCCCTTTGGAAGAACAGCATTGGCAGGAGAGATGAAAACCAGAGAGCAGTTAGAGATGCAGCTCAGTGATCGATTGCTTATCTATCATGAGAAAAGCCCTAGGTTTCACCCCAATAGTACAACTTAATTTATAAAATTCTTGTATTAGCTGGACTGGCTGGAGATTTATCAGTCTATAAGCACTTTCCCACAAGCATGAAGACCCAAACCCAATCCCCAGAGCCCATGTGAAAAGCCAGGCATGGTGGAGAGTGCTTGTAACTCCAGTGCCAGGGAGACAGAGACAGAGGACCACTGGGGCTCGCCAACCAGCCTAGCCTTGGTAGCAGAGATCCTACTGAGAGACCCTGTCTCAGAAAACAGAGTGGAGCTTAAGAGACAGCACAGTTGGTAAAGTGTTTGCCATCCAAGCCTAAGGACCCTGTTTCTTCTCCAGCACTCATATAAAAACTCAGGCATGGTGGCATGCACCTATAATTTCAGTGCTGGAGGCAGAGACAGGCAGATCTGCTGGCCAGCCATTCTAGCCTGTAACTGAGCTCCAGGTTAGGTGAGAGACCTTATTTCAAAACATAAGGTAGGGAGGCTAGAGAGATGGTGGGTGGGTGAGAGCACTTACTGCTCTTCCAGATTCTTCTCAGCAGCCCCATCAGGTGGCTCTTAACCCACCTAAGGTACTGGCACATACATGCATACACATACACACACACACACACACACACAAATAATTTTTTTTCTAAAAATAAGGCACAGCCAGGTGTGGTAGTGAATTCTTTAGTCTCAGTACTCTGAAGGCAGAGTCAGAGGCAGGCATATCTCTGTGAGTTCAAGGACAGCCTGGCCTACATAGGAAGTTCTGGGAACCAGGGCTACATAGGAAGATTCTGTCTTTAAAAAAAATTAAAAAGGTAGAGAACAACCAAGAAAGATGCGTGATGTCAAAATCTGGCCTTCATAGACATGTTTACACATCCAATACACATATATCACCCTCAACACACACACAGAATAAGGTAGATGGCTATAATGAACACCACCTAAGGGTGACTTCTAGTCTCCATGTGCACATGCATATGCCACTAAACACACACACACACACACACACACACACACACACACACACACTTTTAAGTTATAGTGGAACACACCTATTACCCTGTGTTCGGGAGGCAGAGGCAGGAGGACCTGAGTTTGAGGCCAGCCTAAGCTACAGAGAGATACATGGGGAGAAGCGGGGTTGGGGGCAGCGTGGGCTGACTATGGGGAGACTCACCGCAGAAGCTGCTGTTCCTCCAGATGGGCGGCTTGAGCCCGTGGTTCTGGCAGGCGTCCTCGAAGGACTGCAGAGCCTCACAGAGGGCACGGAAGAGCTCTTTGAACTCACAGAAGTTTTTCATACATCCCAGAAGGAAGGGCTTGAGGGGTACCCGGGCGGCACACTGGGCCCAGGCAGAACTCTGGAGGGCAGCCTGGCAGTATGCCAGGGCTTTCTCGAAGTCAATGACCTTGCACTTTCCATTCATGATCTCCTGCTGCTCCACTTGGAGGCTCTGCTCTTCCATGTTCTGGCAACTAGAATGGGAAGAGCAAGGGCTCAGAAGAGCTGGGCGTGGCGGTACATACCTGTGATCCCGGGGCTTGGAACGGGAAGGTGGGAGGATCAGAAGTTCAAAGGTGAGGCTGGTGGGGCAGTTCAGCAGGTGAAGCACTTGCCACCAAGCCTCAGAGCCCGAGTTTGATCCCTGGAACCTACATAATGGGAAGGGAAAGAATGGACCCATGCACATTGTCCTGTGACCTCCACACATGCAACATGGTGCGTGTGCACACACACAAACACAACGCATAAAATTAAAAGACAATGTTTTAAGTTGCTCAAGGAGGCTGGAGAGATGACTCAGTGCTTAAGAATTTGTTGCTCTTGCAGAAGTTCCTAGCACCCACAGGAAAGTTTACAAGCATACATAACTCCAGTTTCAGGGGATCCAATGCCCTCTTCTGATCACAATGGGCACCAGGAACGCATATGGTGCATATAAACACATACATGCAAAATACTCATACACATGAAATACAATAGATAAATCTGGAAAAAAAAAGTTGCTGGGCTGTGGTGGTGCCCGCCTCTGATCCCAGCACTTGGGAGGCAGAGGCAGGCAGATCTTTGTGAGTCCCAAGACATCCTGGTCTACAGATTGAATTCCAGGACAGCCAGGGCTACAAAAACAAACCCTGACTCAAAGCAAACAAACAAAAAAAGTTAGTTGTTCAAGGTCATCTTGAACTACAGGTGAGTTTGAGACTGTCGTGGAATACGTAAGATTCTGCCTTAAAGACACACACACACACACACACACACACACACACACACACACACACACCATATATACACAATAACAATAAATAAAATGAAGGTTGGAATATAGTTCCAGGGTAGGGCCCTTGCCTAGCATGTCTGAGGCCCCCTGTACTGCAAAAACATAAGAAAGAAGCTGAGTGCGGTGGTACATGCTCGCAATTCCAGCACTCAGGAGGCAATGCAATGAACTCATTGGTGAGTTCAAGGCTAAGCTGGTCAATCTATTAAGTCCCAGGCCAGCCAGGGCTACACAATGAGACCCTGTCTCGAAAGAGTGGAAGGGAAAAGGGAGGGAGAGGGGAATGGAAGAAAGGAGAGAAGGAAAGAGGAAAAGGAGAGGCAGGCAGGCAAGCAGAACAGGCGGCCAGACTTAGAGGACCATTACTTGGGGTCGATGTCCTTATCTTTCCAGCTCTCCATGAACTCCGCCTCCTCATAAGCTAGTTCATCACTGGATGTCATGAGTTCATCCTCTTCTTCGCTATTGAAATTCCCGCATACCCCGCAGACCTGGGAAGGCAGAGGGGAGTGGGTTTTCAGTGCTAAGGGGGCAGAGAGGGGTACATATTTTCTTTCTTCTTTTTCGGTGCTGGGGATGAAAGCCAGGGCTTTGGGCAGGTATTCTACCACTGAGCTATGGCCCTCACTGCCTTTTCATTGTTTTAATTTTTATTCTTTGGAAACAGAGTCTTCTGTAGCCTAGGCTGGCCTCAAACTTGATCAGCAGCTGAGGATGACCTTAAATTATTGCTCTTTCTGCCTCCAACTCCTTTGTACCACCACATACAGGTTATGCCCTGCAGGGATGGAACCCAGGGCTTCCTGGATAGGCTCTCTTCCAAAAGAAGCAAAACCTGTGCCTTCTAATTTTTGACACACGGTCTCTCTGGGTAGCATGGAACGTGCTACCCTCCTTCCTTAGCCTCTCGAGTGCCAACACGCCAGGAGCTCAGGGCCTTTTTCATTAATGCATACTTGCCATCCCTACATGAAAAGGGACGCCTTCTTCCTCTATGCTGGGGAATGACCTATTTGGTGTGGTAGAATGGGGTGCCACTCTATCCCCCAAAAGATCACCTCTCCACCAACACAGCCAAGTGTTTTCCTTCTCACCTTTTCATTAGAGGATGCAGGAATTTTGATATCTAAGAAACTGTTGCTCTCAAATTTGACTTGAACTTCGTCCTTAATTGTGACAATGGTATAGACGTCTTCAGTCGTGATGCTGACTCCTGGGATCTGGGTCGTGGCAGGAAGGGTGACTGGCGTGTTATTGATCTGAAGAGGAAGACAGAACCGTGAATGGATGAAACCAGAGGCCTCTCCTTCCGGGTTCCTTCCTCCTTCCCAGCCACTGTCCCCAGCTCACCAGGACTAAATGGTCTCTCTGCAGAATGACTCGGAAGTTGAAGATGTCAATGTACAGCTGATAGACACTGAAAGTCTTGATTTTACTGTGGGTGTCCCTGCTAGTCTTGGCACTGATCGTGAAGAAAGGCAGGTTCATGTTGGGGTGGCACACTTTGACCATGATGTAAGTACATGTGTCTTGGATAGGATGGCTATGGCCATCAAAGCTCACAATCTGAGAATCCTCTGAGATGTGACACTCTGCCATCTCTGTGAAGAAAGAGGTGGCTGAAGGATCATTCCAAGATCCCTGGGACAGGCCACCCTTCTCTGCCTGGTCCAGGCCAGAGAGAACCAAGAGAGAGGAGGACCACATTTAAGAAAAGAATCAAATCTGAGGATCTGCTGACATAAGGCATGAGGGTAGGTAGGAAGGGTGTGACTCACACAGTTAGGGGCTCATCATATGTCATGTGTGATAGTTTGAATGTGAGTGGCCCCCCCATAATCTCATAGGGAGTGGCACCATTAGGAGGTATGGCCTTGTTGGAGGAAGTGTATCACTGTGGGGGTGGGCTTTGAGGTCTCCTTTGCTCAAGCTACGTTCAGTGTGACAGACATTTCCTGTTGTATGCAGATCAAGATGTAGAACTCTCAGCTCCTTCTCCAGCGCCATGTCTGCCTGCATGCCACCCACTATGAAGCTAATGGACTAAATCTCTGAACTGTAAGCCAGACCAATTAAATGCTTTCCTTTATAAGACTTGTCCTAGTCATGGTGTCTCTCCACAGCAACGGAAACCCTAAGACACCATGGGAGAGCCGGTGTGGGGCCAGTGAGATGACTAGAAGGTAAGGACACTTGCAGGTAAGCCTGAAAACCTGGGTTTGAGTCCCAGAACCCCCAATGGTGGGAGAACTGATTGACATAAGCTGTCCTCCATAGGCACAAGGTGCATGCCCACTTCCCCACACAAAATAAATAAATGTATTTTTTTTTTTTAAAGAAAAAGCTAGGTATGGTGGTACATGCCTGTAATCCCAATACTTGGTAAGTAGACACAGGAAGATCAGGAGTTCAAGGCCAGCCTAGGGTGGGGGTGAGGGGATGGCAGTTTGAGTTCTGCCACAAGTCCTTCAGGTACAGCCAGGCTATGTCGGACTCCAGAACATCAGGGGTGAGGAAAGCTGCTCCTAGTGACTTGCAGCAGAGCCCAGCTCACCTGCAGCACAGCGCAGCAGCCCATCCTGGCGCAAGCACACTTGGTTGGCCTCACAGGCCGTGCTGCTGCAGGTGACATTGCTGTGGACGGAGCATGTGCAGAGGGTGGTGCAGGTCTTCTCTGTGTACCAGCTCTCCCCCAACTGTGGGGCATGGCCATCATCAGCAGAGCCAATAGGAAACTTGGAAACTGGAGATGGGTGGAGCCCTCCCCAACCCAGAAGGGTAACTGCATTTGGTCCCTTCCCTTCCCCCATCTTTCTCCCTTCCTTCCCTCCCTCCTTCCCTTCTCCCTTCTCTTTCCTCCCCTCCCCCTTCCTTCTTTTTCTCCCTTCTCCTCCTTCCTCCCACACTTCTGTTTTCCTTCTATCTGTCCATCTATCTTTTCTTTGAGACAGGATCTATGAAGCCCAAGCTGCCCTTGAGCTCAGACCCTTCTGCCTCAGCCTTCCAAGTATTGAGATCACAGGTGTGCACCCCACACCTGGGTCTCTTCCAAGTATTGAGATCACAGGTGTGCACCCCACACCTGGGTCTCTTCCAAGTGCTGAGATCACAGGTGTGCACCCCACACCTGGGTCTCTTCCAAGTGCTGAGATCACAGGTGTGCACCCCACACCTGGGTCTCTTCCAAGTGCTGAGATCACAGGTGTGCACCCCACACCTGGGTCTCTTCCAAGTGCTGAGATCACAGGTGTGCACCCCCATACCTGGGTCTCGATCTCTATTTTTCTCAGCTTCTCAGTATCTAGCCTTCGTCCTCACCCCCAGCTCTGTCCTGCCCCGCCTTTTCTTGCACTCTGAGGCCTCCAGCTTTCTCTCACCTCCCCATGCCCACATGAGGCCAGAAAGGGAGAGCATCCCCTGCCATAGGGCCTCTCACCAGGTGGTAGGAGCCGTCCTGGTCGCTGCAGCCACACTGTCTGAGAGGCACACAGGTGGTTCCACTCAGGATGTGGCCTTTCTGGCATTCACAGCCCTCGACACAGGGCAGGTCTGGACAGTCTCTTGCGGTGCTTAGGGTGAGGCAGGTGGCTGGGCAGGGGTTGGCACATGGGTTGTAGCTGCTCATGGGTGGGCACCTCAGAGCTGAGAAGAACACCAATGTTAAGAAAGGCAGAATGGCACTGCTCGCTCCTGACTTTGGAGGGACAGTTACTGGGAAGGTTCACTGATGAGTGAGGAACCCTGGTCTATCCGTGTGAGAGGTGTTAGAGCCTTTTCTTCTTCTGAGGCAGGGTCTCATGTAGCCCAGGCTAGCCTTAAACTTGCTATGTAGTCAAGAATGACCTTGAAATCCTGATCCTCTTGCCTCCATCTCCCCAGCTCTAGAATTACAAGCATGTATCACCATGCCCTATTTTATTGATCAATTAACTGGCCAACCAGTATAGGACTTTGAGGCTCAAGCCGGCCTCAAACTGATAACCGTCCATATTCAGCCTCTTGATTGCTGGGGTTACAGGCATGAACTGCCACGCATGGCTCTCACGGCTCTATAATGAACTATTATCTAGGCTTCCAAAGGAAGCATGACCTGGGCATGGCAGGACAGATCTTGATCTTTATAGCACTACAAAGAGAGAAAAGGAACACTGTAGGTCTCAAATCCCAGAAGGCAAGAGGTTGTTTGAGAACATGCTAGACGGCACAAGAGAGTTCGAGGCCAGTTGGAGCCACTTAACAAGGCTGTCTCAAAACCAGCACAAACGACTGGGAAGAGGGCTCAACAGGTGGAGTGTTTGCCAGTAACTGAGGACGAGAGCTGGGGTCCCAGCAGCTCCTAAGAGCTGGGGGGACAAGTTGTCTGCCTGTAACCCCACAGTTCAGGAGGCTGAGACAAGCTGCCTAACTAGACTAGCCCATGGAAAAAAAGCTCCAGGTTTATTGATAGACCCTGCCTCCGCAAGTCAAGTGGGGAAAGATCAAGGGAGACATCTGAGGTCAGCCTCTGCTCTTCACACACACATCCCACACAGGCATACATATCTGCATACATGTGTGCCCACACATGTAAAAATGAATACCTAGGGGCCGGTAACAGATCAGAGGGTAAATGTACTCGCTGACAACCTGTTGACCTGCGTTTGATCCCCAGGAACCAACTCATGCACGTTGTTCTCTGCCCTCCACATGCACACCATGGTTTGCATACACATGAAAGAAAGGGGGAGCATACCCACATGCACACCACACACAATATACACACAGTAAAAACCAACAAATCCAAACAGAAAACAAAATAAATTTAAGACAATAAAGACTGCTTTCTGGCTAGGAGGATGGTGCTGGCCTTTAATTCCAGCACTCAGGAGGCAGAGGCAGGTAGATCTCTGCACCTGATCTACACAGCCAGTTCCAGGCAGCCAGGGTTACATAGTGAGACCCTGTCTCAAGATTAATTAATTAATTAATTAATTAGTTAATTAGTTAATTAATTAAAAAAGGGTTTTGTTAAAACCTGGGAGAAGGGAGCCAGGCAGCGGGGGCATACACCTTTAATCCCAGCACTTGGGAGGCAGAGCCAGGCAGATCTCTGTGAGTTCGAGGCCAGCAGAAAAACCCTGTTTCAAAAAACAAAAACAAACAAACAAACAAACAAAAAACTTGGGAGAAGGGGGCAATAACTAGACACAGGGCCAAATTTTTGATGATATAAAAATCAGAGTCAGGCTTGGTGGCATACACCTGTAATCCCAGCTCTCCACACCTACACAGCAAGTTGGAGGTCAGCCTGGGTTACATGAGATCCTGAGATGCTGCCTCAAAAAAAAAAAAAAAAAAAAAACAGGAAAGAGGGAGAGGGAGGGGGAGAGAGAGGGGGAGGGAAGAAGGCTCTGGGTGCTGTGAGACAGAGCCAAGCTGGAGAGGCAGACTGGGAAGGGAAGAGAACTTCCTGTGGGTGTGGATGCAGGCTGAGGAACACAGCTTTGGGACGGGAAAGGACAGGGTTCTCGGCATTCACCAAGGGCTGTAGGAGCTGGGGGAGGGGGTCACTCACGGCAGAAGGTGCTGTTGCGCCAGGTAATCACCTGGCCAGCTTGGGCACACAGGGATGCGTAGGCCTGCAGAGAGCGGCACAGTGCCAGGATGTCCCCTTTGGTCCCACACTGGCCATACACACAACTGGAGAAGCTGGCCTGCGGGGGCACCGCCTCGTGGCAATTGGAGAAAGGCCCTGGAGGAGAAGATAAGGTGGAGGAGAGGAGCGTGAGCCCAGTGGGCAAGCTGGGCCTTGCCGCTTCTGTACAGATAATTTAGGGGATATATGTGTATCTGTGTGTGTGCAGGTGCATGCATGTGCAAGTGTATGCGTGTGCAGGGGCATGCAGGTGCAGGGGCATGCATGTGCAGGGGCATGCAGGTGCAGGTGTATGCACAGACCAGAGGACAACCTCAGGTGTCATTCCTCAGGAATCATTCACCTTGGGTTTTAATTTTTATTTGTTATCATTATTATTACTGTGTGTGTACAATATGCATGTATGGGCATATGTGCTATGGCATGTGGAGGTCAGAAAACAACTCTGTAGAGTTTCTTTCCTTCCGAATTTACATGAATTCTGGGGATTAAACTCAAGTCAGAGCAAGAACTTTTACCTGCTGAGCCATCTCACTTGCCCCACCTCATATACACTTAGTGTGTGTGTGTGTGTGTGTGTGTGTGTGTGTGTGTGTGTGTGTGCGCGCGTGCGCAGCAGTCCGTTCTCCTCCCACCGTGTGGACTCTAGAGATCAAGTCTGATGGCAGGCACCCGTGTCCTCCAAGCCATCTTTCTAGTCCTCCATCTTGCTTTTTGAGACATGGTCTCTCATTGACCCAGCTGGAACACACCAAGTCAGTTAAGGAGTCACCTGTCTCTGTTCTCTCAGCACTGGGATTACACATGTGTATCAACATGCCTGGGTGGGCTGTTGTTTTTTCATTTATTGTTATCATTTTGTGAGGCAGGGGTATAATCATGCCATAGTACACATGTGGAGGGCAGAGCACAACTCTGGAGCTGGTCCCGTGGGTTCCAGGACTGAACCAGGTCTTGGGGTTGATGGTGAGTGCCTCTACTCTCTGAGCCGTCTTCCCAGCCCCACATCCAGGTTTGTCACTTGGGTGCTAGGGATCAAACTCGGGTCCTGTGCTGTCCAGACACGCACTTCCCAACTGAGCTATCTCCTCGGCCCTTGTACAGCTAGTTTATGTCCACTTGCACCGAAGCCTGGGTGGACTCAGGCATGGAATCACAGGCCTGTATCCCCAGCACTTGGGAGAATGAGGCAGGAGGATCACCATGATTTTGAGGGCAGCTTGAGCTACATAGAGAGACTGAGCCCACGCTGGTCTAAAACTGAGATCTGATCTCAAAAAGACAGACAGGAACTGGGAGTGCAGCTCAGCTGTGCTTGCCTGGCATGCCCTGGGTTCATCTCCAGCACCACATGGATTGGATATGGTGGTGAACGTCTGTAACCCCAAGCATTCAAGAGGCAGGAGGATCAGAACTTCAATGCCATCCTTGGCTACACAGTGGGTTCAAGGCTAGCCTGCGATACATGGGACCTTGCTTCAAAATAAACACAAACAAACAACAAAAACCCAGCAATGACAAAACCAGACGCACTGGGAACCTATGGCTAAGCGGGTGTGTCAGTCACGGTTCCTCAGAAGGTAACCACCAGCCATTCTGTACTCCTGCTGACCTCCTGCCTTTCTATCTGCTTCTGCTCTGGCTCTTCCTGCCATCATGACCCGTGCTATCTCTTGCCCAGGGAGAGGACAAAGGGCCCTGGGAGGAGGTGCCGCTCACCAAGAGGGTTCATCAAGATGGAGCACTTTTTACTCCAGCTCTCGTCCATGTTGTTCTCCTCACAGCTGGAAGACTTGCCCCCGGCTACAAAGCAGCTGAATACGGAGGAGGAGAAGAAAGGTTAGAAAGGTGAGGTTTGAGGAAGGATCCTCCAAGCCGAAGCTAAGCCACAGAGGGGGAATGGGAAGGCAATATAATGGCACCCTCAAGTGGGAAGGCAGAAGGCTAGAGGCCAGCAGGACTTCCCCAAAGGCTGTGTCAAAGGCAAGAAGAAGAAGAGTCAGCTGACACAGGCCTGAGGAGTTAGAACAATTTCATTTAACTGTTTACGGTTCTTGAGACAGGGTCTCTACATAGTCCTGGCTATTCTGGAACTCACCATGTAGTCAAGACTGGCCTCCAACTCACAGAAATCCCCCTGCTTCTGCCTCCCAAATGCTGGGATTAAAGGCATGAGCCACCAAGCCTGGCTTGTTTACATTTTATTATTTATTCTTTAATGTTTAGCTTATTGTTTAATTATGTGTGTGTATGTCTGTGTGTGAATATATGCACATGAGTGCAGGTGCCTAGAGAGGCCAGAAGAGGGCATCAGATCCCCTTCGGCTGTAGTTCTAGGTAGTTGTGAGCCACCATGTGGGTGCTGGGAACCAAATCTGGGTCCTCTGCAAAACAGCGAACACTCTTAAATGCTAAGCCACCCTCCCAACCCCTTTTTTGAGACAGGGTCTCATGTAGCCCAAACTAGCTTTGAATTCATCATATGGCCCAGATGACTCTGAAATACTGATCCCCCTGCCTCTACCTCTCATCTGTTGGAATTACAGCTATGTACCATCATGCTTGATTTATGTGGTTTGGGGGATGGAACCCAGAGCTTCATGAATGCTAGCAGAGTACTTTACCCACTGGGATATACCCCCAGCCCTGTTGGGACAACCTTTCAAGTTTACAGCCTCAGGTCAGGGATGTGACTCTAGCCACTGGTTAAATGTGTATCTAACATGGGTAAAGCCCTGAGTTCCCTCCCCAGCACTCGAAGCTCAGAGAGGATGAAGAGCCGAATTGACTGGATTCCTGGTAGTAGGGTGTGCAGCACAGAGGAGGCCCATACACACAAGGGACACCCACTGGCACACTTCCCACAGGGACCAGTTTCCCTAGGCCCAGCTCATCAGATGCCCAGTTCCCCCATGTTCTGATCCCCATGTCCATCTCCCTATGCCCATTTCCTCTAGGCCTAGCTCCCTAAGACTCAGCCCTCACCAGACCTACCTCCCCCAAGCATAGCTCAACCAGGCTCAACTCACCTAGTCCCAGACCCCTATATACCCAGCTCACCCAGGATCAGAGGCTTCAAGTATTTTCCAAGCAGTTCCCAGCAGAAGTGAGTTGCCTGCAGGCTTCCCGTCTGGACGCAGATTGTCATCCAAACTGTTATTGTTGTAGTTCCCTAAGGAGGAGAGCCGTCATAGGGTGGCGTACGCTGCAGTGTTGCCCTTGAACTCACGAAGCAGCAGTTTTAATGGTCACCCAGAGCTCAGAGGCCACTGCCTTCCCAATAGAAGACACATTGCCTAATGCCACATCAAAGCTAACCCTGTTGTCTTTTGTTTTTCTGTTTTGTTGTTGCTGTTTTGTTTTTTTAATGACAAGGTCTTATGTATACCGGTCTACCCTTGAACTAACTATGTAGCTAAGGATGGCCTTGAACTCTTCATCCTCTTATTTTCATCTCCTGAGTCCTGGCATTACAGGTATCCACTGCCACCCAGTTTATAGCGCTGGGAGGAAACCCGAGACTTCCTGTGTTCAGGGCAAGAGCTCCGCCAATTCAGCTCCACTCTCATTCCACCTTTCATCTTTGTTTTGAATCAGGTTTTTATGAAGCCCAGGCTGCCCTTGAACTCACTACCTAGCAGAGGATGACCTTGAACTCCTGGTCCTCCTGCCTCTACCTCCTGAATACCAGTGTTACAGGCATGTACCATCACATCTGGAAACCCTTTTCTCTTTCCCTCTGGCTTTCCCAGGTACCTGCTTTTGGGTCCGGTGCCCTCAGCTCATTCATTGGTTGACAAGTCCTGAGGACACCCAATGGAGACATGGGGGGGGGGCAGATGTCCCCACGGGTCTTACCACACATCCCACAGAGTGAGCCAGTGTACGAGGAAGGCACTGTCACCTCCACCAGGTGTTTTCCATCATATCGAACTTGAAGCCCAAAGTTCGTGTAGAGCAGGACAAAGATGCCGCTCAGCCTAATGGCCACCCGTCCTTTTAAAGGCCACACAGGTAGTGCCACCCGTTGGTTGTTCAGCTGCAGAAATGGGCAGGATATAGTAGAGAGCGTCAGAAACTTGGGACAAAGACCAAATGGGGCATGGTTAAAAAAACAGACAACAGAATAGAGGTGTCTTGGAGCTCAGCTCTTGGAGGTGGAAGCAGAGGATGGGGTTGGTAGTTCAAAGTTATCCTCAGTTACATAAGCAAGTTCTGGGCCAGTGTGGACACATGAGACCCTACTTCAAAAATAGCAATTTAACTGAGAGAAAAGGGAAGGAGAAAGAGGTTTGGGGGTGGTGTGGGGTCTAGGAGGCAACAGAAGACACATACCATGACCCTTCGACCTTTGAACAGGGAGATTTTGAGGTCAAAGACCTGCACATGGACAGCTTTGATACTGGAGACTTCCAAGTTGCCCTCACGGATCTCATTTGTGGCACTCACAACAAAGTTGTCTAGAGAATTGGACCAGCAAGGCCGGGTCAGTACGTAAGTGCAGGTGCCCATAAAATGATGCAAAGCTCCATCAAATGTCAGGTAGTGGGGGTCACCGGAGGCAATGCAGATGGCTTCACCTGGGGAGGAAAGGACAGGCTTTGGTGTCTCATTGCCCCACACCCCAGAAGCCTTAAGTCAAGGCTGCCATCCTGGGGAGGCTGTTTTGAGGTGGGGCCCATGACACATCCTTAGACTTCAGTCTCCTCTGGGAAGACTTGTTGGCTTGGCCCAGGAAGGTCAAGAATGGAGACTGTCGTCCTCAATTTCACTTTCTGAGCCCTTGAAGATGCTGACCCTACTTTGAAAGTTTAGATGTGGAATCCCAAAGACTCATGTGCCAAATCTTGATTCTCCAGCTCAATATTGTTGGGAAGTGGTGAAAACTTTAGGTGCAGCAGGTTTGAGGTCAGTGGGTGGATGTTGTTGAAAGGGGATTGTGGGATCCTAGCTTCTTTCTGGTTCTTTCCCTCATGTCCCAGCCATGATGTAAGCAATTTTTGTTCTGTCATGTTTCCCAACAAGATGTACTGCTGAATCATGGGACCCAAATCAACAAAATCAAATGATCACAGAGTGAAACCTCCCAAACTGGGAGACCAAAGAAACCCTCCTCCTTGTCCTCTTCTCCTTCTTCCTCCTTTCTTCTCTCCCTCTTCTTCCTCCTCCCTCCTTTTATTAAATAATAAGACATTTATTGATTTTTCACACAGACCAATTACTACACAAATAGCTTCAAAGAAGTATACGGCCTCAAAGGATTGTGGGCTAACACTCTAGTCAACAGACCTCAAGATATTTGGCCCTCTGCTCTCAACTATTCCCCTCACCTCCCATCATTGTTTGGCTTATTGGCCCTAGGGGAAAAAAGACCTATGTTTATAGGACCCTGAGTAGCTTCTATCTAAGCCCAAATGAACAAGTAGTAATATTTTCAAATCCACAGAAATTTGGGAGAATGGAACTGAGCATTACAAATCACAAGACAGCCTTAAATTTGGGGTTCTTATTGCCATCATTAGCTTCAGATACCAATCTGACACACCTAGAAGGAGGGGACCTCAATTGCTAACCTGCCTCCACCAGACTGGCCTGTGGGCATATCTGGGGGGGCATTTTCATGATTCCTAGCTGATGTAGGAAGGCCCAGTCCACCGTGAGTGGTACAAGCCCTCGGCAGGTGGTCCTAGGCTGTTTAAGAAAGACAGCTGAATCTGACATTGGAAGCAAGCGGGAGCACTGTTTCTCCATACTCTTCCATTTCAGTTCCCGTTTCCGGGTCCGTGACTTGGCTTCCCTCAATGAAGAACTACTAACCTGAATGCTGGAATCACCCTATTCCTCCCTAAGCTGCTTTTGGCCCTGATGTTTACCACAGACAGCACAGAAAACAAACTAGAACACTTATGTTCGAGAAATGCCTTGCTTTTGCTTCATGAGATTTTAAGTCAAGTCTAAAAATACAATGCCAAGTTAGAATTTTCCAGGTAAATTTTGCTCTTAGCAGCGATTGCTCCCAGTTATGGCTTGGTGTCAGGTGGAAATTGTTCTGCAGATTGACTCCCCTGTGTTATTTGAGGGATGAAATGATAGGACACGTAGTAATCATGCAGCCACAAACTCAGAAACCAAGAAACTCTTTGGTGGTAAAGATCAGTGACATTTAGGCCAAAGAAAATGTCAACTTGACCTTAAAAAAGATGAACTCTCCACAGAATGATCAACCACTAAAAAAAGAGGCCCAATTCTTTTGACGGCAAATTGCCACATTCCTCTTATTTCTGAAGGCACGAAATCAATAAAAACTCCTCTAACGAAAGTCCTTAAACAAATTAAATGGATTATTTCTTATTTTTGTTTGTTGTGGCTGGTTTTTGGTTTTAAATATTTTGTTGTTGGTGATTGCTCTTTTTATTTTTGGTTTTTCGAGACAGGGTTTCTCTGTGTAACAGCCCTGGCTGTCCTGGAACTCTGTAGACCAGGCTGGCCTCGAACTCACAGAAATCCGCCTGCCTCTGCCTCCCAAGTGCTGGGATTCAAGGTGTGCGCCACCACCGCCCAGCAAACTGGCTTATTTCTGAAAATGTACACCATATCTGCTCCAAAGAATAAAGACACGTAACTGGGCGGCGGTGGTGCACGCCTTTAATCCTAGCACTCAGGAGGCAGAGGCAGGGGGATCTCTGACTTCGAGGCCAGCCTGGGCTACAGAGTGAGATCCAGGCCAGTCAGGGCTGCACAGGGAAACCCTGTCTGGAAAAACAACACAAAATAAAGACACCTCGCAACAACCTCACCAAGAACGTACGCGGTAATAGAAGGCAATGGGTCGCGTGTCGCTTAAGGCTATGGCAGGAAACACATTCTAAGCTCGGAAGTTTTCCCCCAAGCAGAGGCTCGAACGCTATCGCTTGACACCCAGTGTTCCTCGGGAACTGTCCTTCTGGAAACGCGGGGAGACCTCCGCTCGCGTCCTCGGAGGGCTCGAACCTCTGCATCTTCAGCGGAGTGCCAGGTCCTGCAGAGGCCCGGCTTCTCGGAACCCCCTCTCCGCTCTTCTCCCTCCCGCCCGAGCGTTCTCGGAGCTCAGAGGAATCTTCCCCAGCGCTGCGCTCCACACGGAAACTGATGCCCGGAAGTGCCCATCACGGTGCGGCTGCGGCTCCTCACGGAAGTAAGCGGCTCCTCCCGGAAGTACCTGCCGCGTTCCTCACAGCCGCTCCTTCCGGAAGTACCTGCCGCGTTCCTCACAGCCGCTCCTTCCGGAAGTAAGCGGCTCCTCCCGGAAGTACCTGCCGCGTTCCTCACACTGCTCCTCCCAGAAGTAAGCTGCTTCTCCCGGAAGTACCTGCCGCGTTCCTCACACCGCTCCTTCCAGAAGTTCCTGCCGCGTTCCTCACACAGGCTCCTCACGGAAGTAAGCGGCTCCTCCCGGAAGTACCTGCCGCGTTCCTCACACCGCTCCTCCCGGAAGTTCCTGCCGCGTTCCTCACACGGCTCCTCTCAGACCCAGAGTCCCTCGCTGGGCAGCTGCTCTTCCTATTCTTCCTGAAGGAATTTCCTGTTGCGCTCTTGGCTCCTCACAGCCCAGAACAGCGTGGTCTGTCAAGCTCCCGGATTCGCAGATTTACTTCTTACCTGGAAGCCTTCGGTCGCCTTCCTCTCCTTCTTCCTCTCCTTCCTCTCTTTCTTCCTCTCCTTCTTCCTCTTCCTCTTTCTCTCTTTCTTTCTTCATTCCTTCCTTTTCTTTCTTTCCTTCCTTCCTTCCTTCCTTCCTTCCTTCCTTTCTTTCTTTCTTTTTCTCTTTCCTCCCTCCCTCCCTCCCTCCCTTCCGTCCATTACTGCGTTTTTTAAAGAGTCTCTGCGGTGCAGGGTAAGTTAAGAGGACTCGCTGCTTTCGCAGCCAGAATTCAGTTCCCAGCACCTACGATGTGGAGTTCCGGTAGCTTCCATCTGTAACTGTAATCCAGGGTATGCGGCGCCCTCTGGCTTCTTCAGATCCTTACACTCACACGTGCACCCAGTCTCACACACACACACACACACACACACACACACAGACACAAAATTTAAGATTAAATACTGACACAGGCCGGGCAGTGGTGGTGCACGCCTTTAATCCCAGCACTCTGGGAGGCAGAGGCAGGAGGATCTCTGTAAGTTCGAGGTCAGCCTGGGCTACCAAGTGAGTCCCAGGAAAGGCGCAAAACTACACAGAGAAACCCTGTCTCGAAAAATCAAAAAAAAAAAAAAAATACTGACACAGGCTCATGTAGCCGAGGATGACCTCAAACTCCCGAGCCTCTTGCCTCCACCTCCCAAATGCTGGGATTCCAGGCAGGCAAAACCCCAGCAGCTTTATAACCTGCTTTATAACCTCTTTATAACGTGGTCTTTCAGGCCGGGCGGTGGTGGCGCACGCCTTTAATCCCAGCACTGGGGAGACAGAGGCAGGCGGATCTCTGTGAGTTCGAGGCCAGCCTGGTCTACAGAGTGAGATCCAGGACAGGCACCAAAACTACACGGAGAAACCCTGTCTCAAACAAACCAAAATAAATGGGTCTTTCTCATGTTTGTTCCAATCTCAGTAAGATGACCAACACACAATCTCTAGCTGAGCCGTTTTTGGGGAAAGCTGCTTTTGGTGACGCTCTCTACATTACTCTATTTTACTTTCCTTGTTACTTTCTATTACTGTATGACTCTATATTACTCTATTACCAAATCTTTACAAAAGCAACTTGAGCTAAGAATGGTGTGTTCTGGCCTACAGTGTGCAGGGAAGACCATCATGGTGGGAAAGCATGGTGAAGGGGGTGTGAGACAGCTCCCATGGCATCCTCAGTGGGGGGCAGAGAGAGATGGATGCTGGCACTCAACTTGATTTCTCTTTCTTATGTAGTCCAGGACACCAGCCCATGAATGATGAGGCTTACATCTAGTGTGGGTCTCCTCGCTTCCGTTAACTGAATCTAGAAACTTGCTAACAGACACCACCAAAGACCCGTTTCTAGAACCTGTCGAGTTGACAATCAGTATGAACCATCGCCATCCTCTCAAAGGAAGCCCCTGCTCACCTTCCATGCTGACTTGACTGCTCACCTTGGGCATGACAGCCTAATATGCCTTCCTTATGGCTACAGGCTTCCTGGGCCTTACACTTCCAAGGCCAGCAGCGGATACTGTTGTTGCCTTCGCAAATGCAGATCTCTTTGCAGTCCGGATTAAACCACTGCTCCTGTATCTGGGGTACAGAGGGAAAGCAGTAAGAGATGGCTTCCCTGTCGGCTGTCTGGTCTTCCTGAAGCTCTGGGCTTAGGTACAGGAGGCTGGTATCGAACAGGCGCAGTAGTATACCAAGTGCAGTGGGATACGCTGTCCCAGGGGAACAGAGCAGAAAGTGGTAGAGCAGGATGCCTGGCATCCCCCCCTGGCCTCCACACTATACACATACCACACATACAAATCAATGAGATGTTAAAAAAAAAAGAAGAAGGCCAGCAAGGTGGCTCAGTAGGTGGGGACACCTAGTGCCAAGTCTGAGGAGTTGAGTTCGATCCAGTGACCCACATACTAAAAGGAGAGAGCCAACTCCTGCAGATTCTCCTCTGGCCTTGGCATGGCAGCCGGGTGGCTGTGGCGCACGCCTTTAATCCCAGCACTTGGGAGGCAGAGGTAGGCGGATCCTGTGAGTTCGAGGTCAGCCTGGGCTACAGAGCAAGATCCAGGACAGGCACCAAAGCTACACAGAGAAATCCTGTCGAGGGGGAAAAAAAAAAAAGAACAAGTAAAAAGCTAGAGCTCTGGTGCATGAACTAGTACAACTTGGTTGTAGAGCTCCTGCCTTGAATCCCCCAGTGAGAGCTTGAGTCATGGCTCAGTGGTAGAGACTTGCTTAGACCCCCTAGTTAGGGACTTGGGGTAGTGGTAGACACCTTGCTTCCTAGAATCCCCCAGTGAGGGGCTGGGGTGTGGCTCAGTGGTAGCGCACCTGCCTAGAATCCCCCAGTGAGGGGCTGAGGTGTGGCTCAGTGGTAGAGCACCTGCCTAGAATCCCCCAGTGAGGGGCTGGGAGTGTGGCTCAGTGGTAGAGCACCTGCCTAGAATCCCCCAGTGAGGGGCTGGGGTGTGGCTCAGTGTTAGAGCACCTGCCTAGAATCCCCCAGTGAGGGACTGGGGTGTGGCTCAGTTGTTAAGCTAAACATGCACAAGGCCCTGGGTTCTATCTTCAGCAATATCAAAAAAAGGAAAAGAGGGAGGAAAGGAAAGAAATTAGTCGAGCCAGGAGAGAGGAAGAGGAAGAGGGAGCTATCAGAGCATGAATCCAGTATGCCAGCCTTAGCTACCCTTGCTTTCTCTGGCTTCCTCTTTCTTGCCTGTCCCCCTCCACTCCCCCACGTCAACACAGGGCTTCAGAAAGTCAGAGCAAGTCCTTTTGTCTCTAGGGCTGAGGGATTCACGCCAGCTGCTCACCTTGAAGTAGCGTCCCTCAACATTGGTGCACCCACACTGCGATCGAGGGACACACTCAAAACCACTGAGGACGAAGCCAGGGTCACACTCGCAGGCTTCCACACACTGTTCTGGGCAGGGCTGGAGAGCAGATCCGGGATGGCAGGTTTCTGGGCATGGTTTGGCACACAGGGAGTACCTGCTATTTTGAGGGCAGTCCAAGGCTGTGGAGGGAAAAGCTTAGGTAAGAAAATGGGCAAATTGGACATGGTAGTGCAGATCTGTAAATCCAGGAGGCAGGAGGCTGTGGCAGCAGGATTAAGAATTCCAGGCAGCCTGGGCCGCAGAGTGAGAACCTGTCTCAGAAAGTAATTTCAAAAGGAGATAGACGAGACCAGGTACAGAAGGAAGGAACATGCTAAGAAGGTCCCAGCTAGAGATGCTGTGACCAATATTGAGAAATATGGCTTGGAGAAGATGAGCCCAGGAGCTCAGCTGACCGGTAGGGCTTGCGGCTAGAAGCTAAGAGTTGCCTGCATTCTGAGGATGTAGCTCACTTGGTAGAGTGCCTGTATGCATGCATGAAGCCCTGGCTTCCATGCCACATAAACTGGTTGTGATGGTGCATGCCTGCAGTCCCAGCACTAGGAGGTGGAGGCAGGAGGATCAAGAATTCAGTGCCATCTTAAGCTCTATGGTGAGCTTACGACTAGCCTGGGCTACATGAGACCCTGGCTCCAAGAGCAAACCAAAGCAAACCAAACAAAAGCCCCTGCCTAAACCAAGCTTGTTGCGTGGGTGCTACCAAGGCCCTCCATGGAAGGCAGATGAGCTACAAATTAGAGGATACAGGCACTCTGATATGTCAACATTCTCAATAAGCAAGTGTGGTACCCAGCAAGCCATGAACAGCCTGGTCCTGGTGATGGGCATCTGTTAATGCAGCTTCTCCAGAGGACTGGGGTGTCCATGCCAGAGCTCCAGTACAGCCTCACCCATTCAGTCTGCACTGAATGTAATGAGAACCGGGGGGGAGTGTGTGTGTGTGTGTGTGTGTGTGTGTGTGTGTGGGGGGGGGGGGGGGGGGGGGTGTGCACAAAAGTACACTGTCTTCTTCCCTACAGAACCAAGTGACTATGGATGGTTATTGATCTGCCGTCTCTTCATCCTTCTCCTCTGCCTCTCCCTCCTCTCCTCTTCCTCGTCCTTTCCTCCTCTCCTATTTCTTCTCTTCTCATCTTCTTCCTTCTCCTGCCCACCCCCACCCGCCACCCCCGCTGAGGATTCAATCCAGGGTCTTAGGCACATTAGGAAAGTGTTCTGCATCCGAGCCACACCCCTAACTTCTCACTGACAGGTTCTAGGCAAGCACCCTACCACTAACCCATAACCCCAGCTCCCTGTCAATGGATTCTAGGCATATGCTCTACTGCTGAGCCATGCACCTAGCCCTCTTTTTGTCTTTTTGTTTTGAAACAAGCCTCCTAAGTTGCCCAGCTTGGTGTTGAACTTAGATCCTTCTGTCTCGGCCTCCAAAGTAGCTGAGATTACAGGACTGCTGTCTGGCCAGCTTACTGATTTTTCCCAGACATCTTTCCTCACTACCCTGTCCTCATATGTAACTGGAGTAGGGAATCAACAGGTTGTACCATGTCTGTATCTAGAGGAAGCTGTACCAGATCATCCCTCAGTGCTTTGGGTCCTAACTCACGGCAGAACTCGGGTCCCCTCCAGGACTTCACAGCATAGCCGGCTTCTTGGCAGGTGGCAGTCATGGCTGACATATGAGCACAGAGCATCTGCTGGAGCCCCTGGAAGCTACACATGTCTGTTACACAGTTATCCAAGAAGGATGAGGCCTTCATGTAGAGCAGGCATGACCTGTGGAGAGAAGCTAACTCAGAGGGCAGGAGAGGGCAGAGCCTCCATGCTCCACCTCAGAGAAACCATAGTGCCTAGCAACCCCAGACAGCCCATCCGCCTTCCTCCATACTCAAAGGTTCCTTTTGGGTCGACAAGCTGGCCACATAAGTTGGACCCCGACATAGTTCTCCCCAAGGCTGGATCACAAGATGGGGGGCTCTTCTTGTTCTGACACCTGGAAGAGACCCAACCCAAGCAGTCAGCAAGACTGGAAGAGCCCAAATGAGGTGGAACAGCTGGAGTCTTCAGGTAGAGAATGAGAAAAGGGCAATGCTAGTCAGCTTAATTTGTTCTTTTGAGACAATCTCACTATGTTAGCCCAGGCTTGGCCTTGACATTCCTATAGTCCTGGAAACGTAAAGATCACAGGCAAGTACTACCAAACTCCCCCGACCCTAACCCCATTACTTTTGCTTCAGTTTTTACATTGCTGAGGATCAAACCCAGCATCTGGTGCATACTAGACAGGTGCTCCACTAAAGAGCCACACCCCAGCCCCTCACTGGGGGTTCTAGGCAGGTGCTCTACCACTGAGCCACACCCCAGCCCCTCACTGGGGGATTCTAGGCAGGGGCTCTACCACTGAGCCACACCCCAGCCCCTCAC